ACCTAGCTCCCTTTGGTGGAACACCCAGAGAAGGGTCTCTGAAGATGACTTTAAGATCTGATCAGCTCATGCACACCATTCTTGTTTCAGGTGTGTGTGGGATAGGATATTGGGCCCTATAGGCTAAGTTTTTCATCTTGTTTGTATGCACACGTGTGTGTATATTATGGAACACTGGAGTTACAAAGATGGGTTCTCTTCAGTATAATTTCTGAATTTTTCTTCCTATTCAGCTGCCAGAAAAATAATTGACTAAAAAAAGATAAATCAATTTACTGTGAGAATCATGCTTGCTTGTTTTTTTCTTCTTCTAATAGACTCTCTCTCCACATTTACACTCCATAAACTTCATAGCTTTTAATGAGGCTATTTAAATTGAAGATTATGTTCAGATATAATCACTATAGCAAGTGCTTGATGAAGAAATAACCTTCTGACCTGATCTGATAAGAGATGCTTGTAGGGAAAATGGAGTCTGTTTTGTAGCACTTGGCTGGGGCACACCTTTTAGGAGCACTTATCTGACAGTAGTAGCAATTATGAAGGTCACAGCTCTTTCTCAGGGGTGGCAGAGGTAGGTTACTCTTATACACAATTAACGGAATATGTAATCTGCCACTTCTGGTATTGCAAGCATACTAAATACATCTACCCTACATTATTTCACCAGATATGTATATATGCATTCACTGAAAGCAATTGGCTGTCAAAAGCCCATGATGTTTACTTTCATAAGAGCAGTTTCTTCCTTGATAACAAAAACAGAGGTTATTAATGGTGTGATACAAATATAATGCTACATGTTGTTTATCATATTTAACTTTTCCTTAGTTGACCTTGTTTACAACCATACAGATTTAACAATATTAAAACAAGTTGCATTTTCTTGCTTTTTTTTAACTTCTGCATTTTGTATTACGTCGCATCACAAAGTATTTTTTTTCACTGCGCCTGTTTTGTGATTATGTGAGATTTTGTGGGGAGAGGAACTATCCTAAACTTTTTTAAGGAAGTTATCACAAATACTTGTTCAGGTGTTGTGTGTGCTTGGTTTTTGATCCTTGATACAAATTATGTTTCACAGCTGCTTTTCCATTATAACGTAATTAGTTATAATGGAAAATTAGAAAGAACACAAATAATACCATTAACTGTGAAAAAGATTTACAGTAGTCTTTTAGTATTATCAAGTTACAGATACCTCCATTTACTCAGAGAATTCTTTTTTCTGAATTGCTACATGCCTTATTTAAATTATTATGTTTCAGCAAAGGAAAGCGTAATAATTTGGGTTATTAAAACCAATAATTTGGTTGGGTTTGCCTTGTTGCATCAATAACACAATGGTTGCTCAACGGTCTGATTTGGTTCTTATCTGAAGGTGCCGCTGCTCCTGGAGTGAGAGGAAGTGAGCAAGAGCAAAGTTAAGGGGTAGTAATATTTAAGATGTATGACCCAATTATCAAGGAGCACACAGTCAGATCTTTGTTTTGTTTTGATTATCTACCTGTCAACCATAGTGCTGTGAAGGAAACTTGGTAGCTTGATTGTCAGTAGCAAAGGAATATGAAAGGCACTCAAGCACAACTGAGCTGCATTAATTTTTAAATGTGCAAGTATTCACAGGTCATTTTGTCTCCAGTGATTATTATTTATTTATTTACATTTTAAAGAGACAGCTGTGGTTGCCAGTGCAATATCCACCTGCGAATTAAAAATCATGCAGTCAAATGCAGGGAAGGGCAACTCAAAGTACATAGGCCCTTCTCTGAGTTTTAGCAAGAAAACAAAAAGCCCAAAGGCCATTATAATACTCTCAGAAAATACAGGTCATGTACAGATTGAGCTTATAAATATCATTACTCCGGTGATGCTTATTCCTCAGGAGAGATAATCATGAACAGAGTCTGGAAGCTAATAATCTTTTCAGTACATGGTGTTTTACAGTGCTTTGAAAGCACTGTCCCTGCCCTAATAATCTAAACTTAGGCCATATGGTGAAAGATGAAAAAGAGACAGTAGTGGGAGTGGAAGAGGGAAGAGACAGAAGGAATATGGGTGTGATCAAATGTAGTCCTGATAAGGTCTAAGGAGTGAAGCCACAGTATCTATAGAAGAGATAGATTTTGAGCTATGGAGTGAAGAACAGAGAGATGACACCATATAAGCTATGTTCTAGGCTTAAAGGGCAGGGCTTTTAAAAAAGGTGGAGACCGTTAAAGAAAGATGGAGACCATTAGGTAGCTCAGGGCAGCAGAGAAGAGAAGAGCAAAAGTCATAGGTGTGTTATATTATCAACATTATTATTACATATCTATACTGCCCAATAGCTGAAGTTCTCTTGGCAGTCTGCCACAGTACTGTTATATTTTCTGATAGCAGAAACTTAAGGGAGCAAGGCCATGGAGAACACTGAAGGGAATGAATATGTGTGGCAGGTGGATGGGAAGTCAGAGTTAAGGAGCAACAGAGAGAAAAGAATGGGGATAAAGCAAGTTATGCCTGCTCAACAGAATAAATTATTGTATTGTCAGTGCATGCGCAGTCATTGAGGAGAGGACAGTTTCAAAAGAAAGATGACCAGTACAAACATCAAACAAGTCCAGTTTTAGACAGAAGTCACCCAAAATACCAAAGAAGAAGCAGTTAGAGATACGGAATTGTTTGGGAGTGATCAGCACGGATCAGAACACAGAGCAGTAGATTGTATTCAGTGGTATCTGTGCCAATGGAACAACATGAGTCAGTGAAACAGAGTCTACCTGCAACATCTGCTCTGGAGGATTGGGGAGGTCCTCTAAAACATTTTGGACATGAGGGCTGCAGGAGAAGGAGGGTAAAGGAAAGTTCCATTTCGCACAAGCAAGCTTTTGCAGGGCACTTTGGATGTTACCATTTTCCTTTATATCACAAGCATATTTGGCAGCAATGAAACTGGAGAGATTAAATAGCAATAACCAATAGCAGAACTCTGAAGAATCCCAGTGGAGAGCAGAAAAGCAGAGGAGGGTTCCATAGAGGCAATTTTGAATGAGGGATTTGACAGACAGGGATAGAACCAGTTGAAAAGGAAGTCCTAAAGGCCTAATGCACAGGTGCAGCACAGGGGAGAAGCTGGTCAGCCTTGTGAAAGGGAGCAGGGGTTGTCACAGCATATTGTGAAGACCTTAAGATTTGGTAGTGAGGAGGTAATTGATTAATTGTAGTGAGGTCAGTTTCAGTGAAGTGTACAAAGCAGAATACATATTATCAGAGCATATATTACCACAGAGCAGCAGTGCCTGCAATTGTGGAAACAGCTGGTTGAGTAGTAATACTTCAGCCACTTGGTTGCTTTTGCTTGGTGAGATTTCAAGCAACTAGACCAGTTATGAGAATTGGTATTATATTGCATCTAGTAGACAGTGATGTAAGAAGCTAGCTTCTTCACTGATTCCTTGCTCAGTAGCTTCTCCATTAGTGTGTGCAACATAATGCTGATGTTGCAGTGATAAAAATAATACTTCTCAGCAGATCTTCAATATGGTTATACCAGAGCATACACCTGTATATGGATTATAGTACCTCATTATGATAACAATAGAGATAGAAGAGAAAGATGTAGAAAAGCAACAAATATTAAGGAAGGATTAAAAATGACTATGTTCCTGGATAGGTAGGAAAACTTTAACACATACATCTTGCAGAAAAGGAGATGAAGTGAGGAGTATGAACCTGCAAAAATTTGAGAGCCTCTGCCATAGAGAAAAGTAGGATTACTTAAAGCAAGAAAGGCAGCATAACAGGATTGGTGTTCTAAAGCTTGCTACATGAGAAGTGTACTCTAAAATAATTATGTTTACCATATGAATAAAACATGGAGTGACAATATTGATTCCAGTAACTAGTTCATTAACTTCTTAAACCTCTCCCAAAATTTTAAAGATGTTGTACCAAGTCCCAAGGAAGTCCTGCTTCCTTTGCTGAGATGTACCATACTTATATCACAGTCCTATCCATGCTGTTGGAAGTAAATCTCATTGAATTTGCATTTTTTTATCTATTTCATTGGCTGAGAATTGTTCAAGATATAGAAAGGAGGTACTTGATGAACAGAACTTTGTGATCTGATCAATAAAACTCAATTCCCAATTAAAGATACTTTGTTAGAAAGGAGGATGTCTTTAAGTAGATCTGTTTGCTCTTTGTACTAGGTTATTAGTACTTGTATTGCACATGAGCTTTCCATGTGAGCAGGTCCATGAGACCAAATTGGCATATGGAGCTAAAAGGTTCTTCCAGAAGAATCCTTTCTTGCATAATTGCCCTGTCTCATTTGTGAAATTTTATAACGTATTATTTAGTCTTTGATTTGTAGCACTTCTACATTTTCCCACTGTTCAATCTTTTTTTCTTACCAAAAACATTTGTGAAGGAAGGAAAGACTGAATAGCTGCACAGTGCTTTCTGATTATTAGCACAAGAGCCTTCCATTGGGAAGCATGCCATGACCTGGATTTGGGAGAAATTTTGATAAGTAAATGCAATGTAGTAGTACCAATCTTTTTTATCAACCAACTGACATATCTATTAAGGTTTACTTTAGTTTACCTTTCAGTTAAGCTGTTATTCAAACCAAGCACAAATGTTATTTGCATCTTTTAGAACAGCTTTCCCCACCCTTGTGCCTTCCAGACATGTTTGGATTGCAGCATCTAGAATTCTCAGTCAATGGCTCTGCTGGATGGGAATTCTGGGAGTTGTAGTCCAAATGCCTCTCAAGGCCACCAGGTTGGGGAAGACTGCTTCAGAAGAACGCCTTCTGGTTGCTGTCTCCTCAGTACCATCAACCTTTTAGTAGGACCTGATTAAAAGCATTTGAGGAGCTCACAACGCCAAAGTTGTGTGTCTCCCCAACCCATCCATCAGTTGCAATGCTCATTATTTACATCTTGCAATCAAGTGTGTAGTGATAACTTCTGGCTGGTTACGATTAATTCTTTTTCCATTTTTTTCTGCAGGAGTGTTGTCTCTGTAATTTGAGAGGTGGTGCACTCAAGCAAACTACTGACAAAAAGTAAGTGGCTCAAGCTCACCCAGCTTCCGAGCTGTTCCCTTACTGACAGTAGAGAGCCTCAAATTGGGATATTGCCAATGGTTTATTTCCATCTTTCTTGGCCTGACGCCTTTCAGATGTTCTGGATTACAATTTTCAGCATTTCTGCCCATTGGCCATGCTTTCTAGGGCTGGCAGGAGTTGAAAGATTCAATCGAGACTAGTTTATCTACTAGTTTATCTACTAGTTTATCTGTGGCTAGAACTGTTTTCTGTGGGTTCCAGTGGATGACGATTGTTCCAGATAACCACAGACAAACCACCCACCATTCACTTTCAGTTTCTAGAAATGTGAAATTTGGGGCACCTTGATAATGAAGGGATATCTGCAGATTTCCTTGTCATTATTTATAAAGAGCCTAGAGATAATGGGACATGTTTTAAAACCAGTTATTATCCCTGGTACTCACAGTATCTCATGATTTTAACTCCAGAAAAGATATTTTCCACCTGAGTACTGCATGCTATTTTTGAATTGTTATTCTCTTAGTTATATTTTGGGTTACAGTAGATGATTTTCTACCCACTTAGCACACTGTCCACAGCACATCTGTCTAGCTTCAGTTACTAACTCAATTATGAGAGTTCAGGATAGCTAACAATACTAAAATCTTTATGTAAAAAGCTGTAGAGATTTTTGTTTCAACGAGTACCTCACAATCAACACAGCTGTTTGTATAAAGTGGTGAGGAGGTCAAAATTTTTAGAAATTGTTCATTTGTTTCCCCCATTCATCTCAAGACATGCAAAATATGTATTTCTTACATTATTTTGCTTACGTATCCTGAATAAAGTTCAAATTTACCACTGTGCTATTTCACAGCTTTTTAGGGAACACATTAGGTAGTTTGAAATGGCTATAGATTGTAAACTGACAGCTCTTTTCTCTCACTTACCTTGGGACTACATCCAACATCACATGAGCATATATCTGATCACAGAATGGGTGTTTCCCTTCCTTTTAAGGCCACTGCAAGGACATAATCTTAAAAGGTTCACTCACCAATCATGTAAAGTGTGCATTCACAGTCAGAAACCAAGCCTTAACTAGAGTGTGAGCTGAAATCAGCACGCTGCACTCCACCCTTGGGCATTCCTTGCTCTCTCTCAGGAGAACCCACAACTAGTAGACCAGATAAAAAGGTTCACTGCAGAGGCAGATGTGCATGCAGTGATGCTGGTACAGTGACAGCTGCTTGGAAGCAAGGGGCCAGATGTCGATAATTCCAAACTATCTTCCTCATCAGGATAAGGAATACCTGGTCTTCCAGATGATCCCTAGCCAGTCCAGTGGAGAGTGATGATGCACATTGAATTCATCACCATCTATAGGGTCATGTCTATAGGGTCTATAGGTTCTCTATCCCTGATTTATATGGATATGTTCAAATTTTTCAAATAATAAATTTGTGACAGCTTTGCATGCCCACTCTAGACACAGCAACTTTTTTGTTTTGTTTTCATTGGATGTAGAAAGGACAATATTATGGATCCATGTAACACTGCCAACATGATTCCATATTGCAATTTTTGCTAGGGACTCATGTCCCATCTGTGTTTGTGAATGAACATATTAAAAGAAAAGTGATGGTTGCCATGTAGAAAACACACAACGCAGTCACCTTAAATCAAACAATTTTTCATAATATGATTGGCACCATTGCTATTGTGTGCACACTTTGACACCTCTGGAAGATGTTGACACTTTTGTTCAGAAACTATTGCTGGCATGTTTGCAGAAGATGAACCTGTTTTTCTCTTGACTCATCCTATTTAACTATGTACCTGTCAATTCAGTTTATATGGTTTTGATTAGTCTGTTGTCATAGAGAGCTGGATTTTATTGGCTTCTAGAAATGCCAGTGGAAACTTCACTCGGTGTTATGCTATTACCTTTGTATGCAGACACCAAGTTTAGCATTGGATTTCAAATTACAGTTAGCAGACTTACACAAAGACAGCACCAAAATGTAATTTACTTTATGCTATTCCTTTATCTCCACAAAAGGGAACTAACATATGGGCTTCTCTTCTTCAACTGAAAGGTACCAGTAGCTTTCAATTAAGTTACTAAGTTAGGTTTCTGCTACTTTGTGAATACTTTTATGAGCTAATGTGGAAGTTTAGTTTTATCATGCTCTCATGCTTAAATATTCCACACTCAGCTTTTGCTGATGACAGTATAAAAGAAGTAAATGAAAGCTCATTTGTCATTGTTTGCATGGGCAAGTCTTGTAGTGGTATCTCATATTCAAGGGTTTTGGGTTTTTTTGTATTTTTTTTTTGGTTAGGTCTGGAATGTTCTGATTAAGGTGCTTAATACAGTATCACTAATGTTTTGTTAGACGTAAGCATACTATTAACAAAATAATAAATTGGTATCGATTTAGAATGAATCTTGATATTGAGCTGCTTGAGTCAATTTCTTTTACCTTTTGTAACAAGTTCAAAAAATAATTTGTCAGTTGACATCATCCTGTTTCTAAGACCAGTATTCTGTTTCTGATGATAAATTTATATACAAGATGTTGAAGAAGGATGGAATTGCACACTTGATTAGTTATAAAAATAATAATTGTTGGCCCATGTATGCAGTGCTGCTGTTGTGTTACAATGTAGGGTTTCTCCCCTTGGGAGCTCTGTATTGCCACTTTTTTTTGGGGGGGGGATTGGTACATGTTTGTGTACTGACATAGAGAGTTTGTGTGAAATTTGTGTTCCCCACCACATTCCACCTGAAAGACATGATGCATGAACTATATCCTTTGCATGAAAATACATAATACCAATGATCCATAAATGCATAAATGTTTTGGAGAGACTGCATGGTTAGAGTCCCTCGTGCATTTTCCTACATGGGGTGAGGGGGAATGCAAGTCTGAGACTTACCCAAGGGCCGAAGAATATAACCTCACATTGATATTTATTTATTTACTTAAAGCTTTTATAGACCGTCCCATTACTAATGTCTTGGGACAGTTTACAACTAGCAAACACAATTAAAATGGCATAGCATACAGCAATTCACAATAAAATCACAATTTTACATGCTAATTAAAAAATTTGCAGTTAAAATCAATTAGGCATTAAAATAATGGGAGAATAAAAAGGTCTTCGCCTGGCACCAGAAAGAAAAAAGAATTGACGCCAGGTGAACCTCTCTGGGGAATGTATTCCACAATTGAGGCACCACCGCAGAGAAGGCCCACCTCCAGATAGTCACCCTCCTAATCTGTTTTAAGGAGGGCTCTCGAAGAAGAATCTCCGCTTCAGATAACAGGGGTGGGAGGGCATAATGGGAAGAAAGCTTTTTGGTGCAGAATTATGGTGCATAACTCGTATCAGTTGAGCGATGTTCCAAAAATGGACATATAGATACTATTTGTCACTTCATGAAATGAAGATTTATTTTTATAGTTTGAATATTTTTGTATTTTAAAGTATTTTGTAGTCCACCTGGTAAGCTTTTTACCCTGAAAAGCAGGATAGAAATTTATTGAATAAATAAATGCATACATTGTTTATTGAACGAGGCTGCTTGCTTGCATCTTTCTGGCCTGTTTTTTTAATTTCCAAATTTACTATTATTACACAGATGAATTTATAATACATCTCCCACCAATCTTAACAGCAACAATCGTGTTATAAATAGCTATTAAAATCTTTCTGAAGTCAACTTTTTAGCTAAATGTTAATTAAGCATCAAATATCTCTTAACAGAGTGCTGATGGAAGTAAACACATTTGAAAATATAGATCAAGAAAATGTCAGCTAAATGGAATGCATCACTTTTCTTTGATATCTGTGGCTGAGAGATCACAAAGGACTTGTTGGAAAGCAAATTTTAAACTTTTACAGATCTGAAACGATTAAGCAGATGGGTTATTTTTACATACTACAAAGTTTGAGATATGCAGTGGGAAAATGACTACATGAAACTATCGTTTTTATTTATTAACACTTGCATTTCTTTCTTTTTGTGTTTGTTACTGTTGCTTACAGGTGGGCTCATGTCATGTGTGCAATCGCTATTCCTGAAGTCAGATTTGGTAATGTCATAGAAAGGACACCTATAGACACATGCAGGATACCTTTGCAGAGATTAAAATTGGTGAGCTGTAATGGTCCAAATGGTCCGATACATAATTTATAGTTGTAAGCATTTGAAATGTCATAGTTCACATTTATCTTGCAGAAGATTACACAGTTATGTCTTTTTTTTAAATGCCAGTTACTTTTTTGTGGGAGCTAATATTTTGTACTGTTAGTTGCAAAATGATGCACATGTTTTATTGGGGATTTCTAATTCTTGAATATTTGTGCGCATTCCATAACTATATTTATAGACATAATATGTAGAGGAACAACATCAACTTTATATCTATTGTAGCTTTCCAAAAAACAAACTTTAGCGTTAGGCTAACAACAGCAGAGACTGAAAAGAACATTCATGGCTTACAGGATTATGCTATAAAAATTAGCTTCCTCAGCTGCTGCAAATCAAACCTCTACCTTTTGTCTTTCTTTTCTCCTTTTTCTATAGTTCTGAAGCTACCTGTCAGGTCCCAAAATTCAGTCAAACCCCTAATGTGGTGAGCAAGTTGAAATCTGTTAGAAAGGAGGAATGTGGAGACTGTTTTATTAGCTAATTTTACTAAACTGTTTCTCCTTCCTGGTTTTTCTGATTAAACTCCCCTCACTACTTATGGGACAGAAAAAATGCCTTAATAACAGAAAGCCATTTGAGAATAAAAATGCTGGCACATTTCCCTACTCCTATTTCTAGAAACCCTGGGAGGTGGGAGACTGCTGAAGAACAGAAGGTAACATCATTAAGAAAGAAGAATTCAAAGAGTGAGTGAAAAGGCAAGCTTTGGAAGGTGTGTGGTTAGTCCCAGAGGGAAAACTGGGTTCACGGGCAAAAGCGATGGGAAACAGAGGAGGAAGACTGTCTTATGTACTAGCAGTGAGGAAGACAGGTGAAGACCGCATAGACCAGCCTTCCCCAGTTGTTTAAATCCAAGGGCCTGGTCTAGCTAAGACATCTCACTTTATATTTGAGGCTCTTTTGGAAGAAATGAAACCACCTGGATCAAAAGTGATATATAGTTTACTGAATACAATGATAGAATATGGATGCAGAAGATAAGCAAACAAAAGAAGAAAGGTGCTTTAGTAAGGCAAACACTTCCATACTCAGGGCAAAACCAACTCTTATCTAGAGAAGGATTGGGGAATACAGCTTCAAAACAAATATCTCTAGTGCTTCTCTAACAAGCTGAAGGCAACCAGACCTTGGCATGGCTTCAGGAGCCTGTGCTGGCTTCTGGACATTCTGGGAAAGTTCATTACACTATCTGTTGCACCTTAATAAATTCCTCACCTTTCTTCTGGTAGAGCCTATCTGTTACTTCAACTTTGTGATGTTCAGATGTTTTGAACAACAACTCCAAGAATTCCTGATCATTAGCCATGTTGACTGAGATCAATGGAAGTTCAAAACAATTAGAAGGTGGAAATAAATGGACTCTCTCCATCCTCAGAGGTGCCATCCCCACAAGTGTCCTGTGGGAAAGGAGGGTGAGAAGGCAGGTGAAGGAGACATCTGGGACCTACTCCTGTTCCCCGAGGGACTGTCACAGTGTAGTAGTCTAACAACAGTTGCTCTGTGGGAAGAATCCTGATGACTTGTTTATATTGGTATTGGTTATTTTGTGTGTGTGTTTTGAAGTATTTTGATGTTAGCAGTAGCTGCATTAGAAGGATTTTTATGGTGTATGGGTGGTGGTGATGAATGGATTGAAGCTCCTTTTACTTGCTCACTTAATCCAAATGTGTGTGCGAGCTGGGTGGGGAAACCTTTCTTAGAGCATTTCAGCTCAGAATGAGGTGCCAGACAGGCTTGGGGTAGTGCTTACATTTCAGTAGTGACTCTTATCCCCATCTCCCGGAAAATGCCAGCAGGGCCAGAATCCCTGCATCTTGTTTATTTCTTATTTAATTTATTTAAAACTTTTCTGTGCCATCCACTACCAAATAGTCTTGGGACAGTCTCACAATAAAACTCTTAATGCTAAATTTGCAGCTGTATATGGCAGTTATGGGTAATGGAAGACAAGCATTCTGCAGATTGGCTAACTGTAGCTGGGGAAGCTAAATTGTGGTATTGTAATCCTGTCAAACAATAGATGGTGTTTCAATTTCTGCTGTTGCTAGGGAAATTTTAAAGTTTGTATTAATGGAAACTTTATTAGAGATTTTTTTTCTGAATTTATTGACTGAGTAACAGTTGACAACATGAATAGCTTATGAAAGGTAGGAAAAATCTTTGTTCTCTAAATTTCTTTATTAACACATTTCTTGTAAGATCAAGATGAATGTGTCCAGCTAATTCATTTTTTACCCATGAGTAAAGCTGCATTTTAAGACATTTTCTGAACCTAAATGGACCATTGCATGCTAGAATTTAGAAAATCTCTACACCCTTGTTCTCATTTCCTGTATCAATTTATCTTTGAAATATGGTCCTTCATCACTAAAAACATGAAAATTGCTGACAGTTGCTCAAATCACATGCATAGATGTTTATTACACACATGCAGTGTCTGCTTGGATCATGTAATGCAAAAAGGTGAAAAGGGCATAAACAGCTTTTTATTTATTCAAGCTGATACTTTTTGGACTTTCAGATTGCCTGTATCTGTCTTCATAAAATTCCAGATGTTTTGAGTGAAACTTCAATATGCATGTGGAAAAACGTGTTTAAAATAATGGCAAATACAAGTAAATAATATTTTAATCATGCAGTTCAAAGCTGCATCCCCTTCCAGAGAACTCTAAAAACTCACTTGTACAAAGAATAGTTATGAAAGATCTTATTGTTAATATTTTCTTTTTCAAGTGCCTGCATAATGTGAGCTAGCATTTCTCACTAATGCATTGTTATGAAGAAAATGTTTCCCTTTTAACAAAGTATACAGTAAAGCAATAAAGCTTGAGTATAATGATTTAGGTATTTGTTTAGCTCAGCTGTTGTGAATATATATACCAGGGATAGCCAAATTTGCTCAATGGAAGAGCCACATATGGTAAAATGTCAGGTGTTTGAGAGCCGCAGACATGAGCAACATTCATTCATTCATTTTGACCAAACAGACACTGCTATCATTATTTAGATGGATAATCAGACAAAATGTTTTTGGGATCTGTTTCATAGATACTTCATTTGTAATACACGGACTTTTAGTACAGTTAAAAGCCAATTGGACCTGCTCATCATAGCCCCTTATAATGATGACGTGAAAACTACTAGTCATTAAAAGAATTTCCAGCTGTTTTTACTAAGAGTGCCAATCAACTGAGCCCACTGAGTTTATTATTATTATTATTATTATTATTATTATTATTATAGCATTTCTATGCCGCCCCTTGCCGAAACCTCGGGGTGGCTTACAACATGTTTAGTCCAAGGTATTCATGCACATGTATATGTTTCCTTCATATTTTTTTTTTTTGAATAGGGAAATGGTCACACAATCTTTCCAGCTTTCGAAATGACAAAGCACTTTTTAAAAACATACCCACACAGGAATAGAGCAGGTCTCAGGCTTAGAAAGAAACTGGGTTGGGCTGGTGGTCTTGGGAGAGTTTGCCCTGGCATTGCCCTACACTGTTCCTGCTGAGGATCACAAAGGCACTCAGGAGCCAAGTGCCTTTGTGCTTGTCAGAGACAAAGTGGCAGGGCATGGGGAGAGACCCAGGATGAGAGCTTGGTGGGCTGGCAGCCTTGGGAGAGCTTGCTGCAGTCATGCCCATCACCGGGATATGGACTTGGGGCGATGGGGGGGGGTGGAGTTTCCGAGCCCTCTGCGAGCCACAGAATAATGTCAAAGAACTTCATGCAGCTCTCAAGCCTCGGTTTGGCCGCCCCTGCTATATTCCCACACATGAATTAGATTATTTTTGTTAAAATAATAGTAAATGGCAACATCCCATGAAATATTTTTAATATCCCTTCATTTCCAAAGTAAATCTATTGATCTTTGTATTGTTTAATGTGTATAGATGATAGTTCCATGGCATTCATATTTTTTCATTTTGCAATCCAGTAATGGATTGATTACTACTTTTGCCTAAATAAAGTTACGTAAGGCTTTTACATAGCATTGGATTATTTATATCAGATTTCCGATCTCCACCAGACTTGTATGGATGACTGAGAATAGACACTAAGGGTTAGGGCCATCTATCGACATATGCCTTGTGATTTCTGGGGTGCATGTGCTCCTGTACTCTTTCAGGCAGCTGTCATCAGCGGGGTTTGGGAGAACAAAGGAAAAGTCAGAAGCCCAGTGGCTGAAAGGAATGCAGGGTGACTTTAATGTGGTAGACGAAAAGGGACATAGGAAAGGACCTATTTTCTTCACCTTCCTCTGCCTCCACGCCTTGTCTTGTGGAACTGCATTTGTATTTTTAATCTTGCATTCAGATTGTATCTGCTCTGAAATGCGATGGGATGCACCAACATTTTGTTATATTGTTACAGCAGTTCAGTTTGTAGTGAAAGACAGGGTTGTGGGCAATGTTTTAGAAGTTCCTGGTGCTCTCCAGATGTTTTCAATTATAATTGCCAGCATTCCTGACCCTTGGCATGCTGGGTTGGCCTGATGGGAGTTGTAGTGCAAAGCATCTGGGGGCAGCAGTCTGTGGAAGGTTGTATTTATACTGGACAGTAAATGATACTTGTGGACATCTAAAAAAAGGGCCCTGCTGGGCAGTCTCATTCAACAATTTTGTGAGAATCTAACTAGTTGCCACATTTATGCTGGCTCAGTGCAAACCAGTGCTGTTGTCTGATAGAGTGAATTGCTGCCTATCAAAAGCATATAATTTATATGTAGCACAGAATGCTGAAGAGGCCAACAGTGGTGCATATGAATTTATAGGTGCCGAGAACTCTGGCTAAAATGATACTTGGATAAAACCCTCTGTGTCTGATTGTGCTATCATTATGTCACCCTTCCTTTCTTGTTTAATTCTCTCTTGGTTTTCTGTAGAGTAAATTACACTGGTATTTTACTTATGACTGTGTCTTGATGGACAGCATCTTTG